TCATATATATTGATAGAAAACCAAAAACTTGAGCAAAATTTTGTATTTTGAGTGATGAGTTCGCATCTAATATTTATGAACGGCCTCGTCATTGTAAAGATGGATAAATATTAATATATGAAAGATGTATAATTTTTCAGGTGCTACTGAATGTGATATTCATTTTGAATTGATTTTAATCGTATGTAATTGATAATCTATCATGCATCTGAAATGCTAAAAGTGATTTCTATTTATTGAATTGCAATTTGAAGTCTTTCGATGACTAAGCTTCTAACCGTTTTAATAAAACTACAATTTAATTCAGAAACTAGGTAATAGATGGCATTCATCGATCTACAAAGACGATCTTAAGTCTTTGATGTATTTGAATATCTATCCATAATAGAAAACTACTTTAAATCAATGAAGCAAATGATAATTTAGAAGACTCCTACTCTTCCACTGTGCACATTTATCGTATAGCAGGCGGACATTTAATTTTCGCTTCTTGGAAATGACTTTTCTTTTGCTCAGAAGTGATTTCATATCACACAGAAAATAAAGCATTTAAAAAACCGAATCTTTAATGAAAAACATCTGAGAGAACCTTCTTGCCCTCATTTTTTTTGGTTAGAAAATGTCTTGTCTGGGTGTGAGTGTTAGTTTTCTCTTCATTGATACCCATGCACTGGCATCTATATCTATCGCCACGTTACCTTGACTATTATTTACTCACCGATATCGAAAATCATCAACAAGAAGTGAATCTTTACCTTTCGTTGATTACATAGTTGACATACTGAAGAATGATCGACCATATTTTTCTTTATTTCGAGATATGTATTATTCGTCTAGTGAATAACGAATCAAATACTTTATTCCTTCAAAAAGATTTGAGATTGAAGTGTATTTGTTTGAATATGATGTACTTATATATTTCATACGCTTTTAAGACTAGGTCGAAAGTAAAAGACCTGTAATTTCGAATTATTCTATTCATGAAATTTTAAATAGTGATCGTTGTTCGTTTAAAGAAGAATACGTTTCTTTCACTGCTGCAAGAATAGCAGAAGTTGCCGTTAGAAAAAAGAACAATATGAAGCACTCTTATATTAATAGTCAATTAAAGTGTAGATATGAATTTAGAGAAGAGACACATCCATACACACATTGTTATTGTGCAACTGTCTGATGAGTAAATGTCGCGACAGTAACTATCAAGAGAGTATGTGTTATAGGACCGATTTAAGTATTGATTGAAGTTTTTGTTTTATTTTTAATAACTTAGATTTAATTGAACTATTATTCTCTGATTAGCGACAGCAGTTATATCATGTGTGGTAACAGTTTTTTGCTTTATTTTATATTTATTATTCAACAAGTGAATGTGATAATAATTTTGAAAAAGCTAAAATTAAAGCTTTAATTTTCAACCAATTGTACATGAAGAAATGAGAAGAGATCGAACAATATCTAGTGTCTACATGCCAATGCCATATGATTATATCGGATCCTAGGTGGTGTATCCCTCGTTTTCTAGCTATCGGATCGGACAACCTTCTATACCTTTTGACAAAGATTCCAGTTCGGGATTATTCGTCCTGGGAATATTCCGATGGTAAAAAAAAAACCCGTTTAGTGACATTTCTGTTAATTTCTATATAAACAAATGTAAGGAAAAGGGCACTAAACACCCGTGTCGCATGTTTCTTCGCATTATCGTCGGTATTTTGCAGTAAAATGGTAGTGCGAAGATACTCGACCGTTTAAGTATCAAACTACTGTTGATTGATTGCCGTTGTACCGACGGTTTTTTTTCCGATTTGAATCACATGAATAGTAATCATATCATTCAACAAATCATACAAACAAATTAATTATTATAACAAACAACAACTCATTATGACGATATTAATCAAATTCATCAAACAGTCGATATGATTGTTGGCGACGACGAAATAATCAAGAAGTTGTTAGTCAATAAATTAAATCAAGGTTAAACACAAAAAAAGAAAGGTCATATAAACTAATATTTTCAATGTATATTTTTATTTTCTCTTATCAAATACTAAAGAAATATTCTTTTTTTTTCTTATATAATAAAATTCTAATCATTATGAAAAAGGTCACATTTGTTTTTTTTTGAATATCAAATCAATAAAACAAAGTTAATATTTTAAGAACAAAAATAAATACATATTTATTATGCATGAAAACATAAAAGACTTGATGTCAAACAAATTAAAAGATCGATATTGAACCCTATAATCATCATTATATTAAATCGACTATTCATACTAGACAAACATATTGACATAGTCATCATTAAATACATACATTCATAATTAAAATACTATTCATCTTTTAGTATATAACGAAAAGTTCAAGTAAAAATACTTCATATAAATAATCTTAGTTCATTATATTTGTTTTCGACATTATTATGAACCATCATTCAAATATGATTAATATCTTTTTTTAGCCCAACAACATTCGATACATCTCCTTCATAAGTCAATATATTTTTTTTCTTGACGTAGTACTCTAATTATAAGATTAAAGTATAAGAAAAAAATCTTACAAAATTATCTCAGATATTGACTCTAGGCTACAATGAAAATAATTAGATTTAGATTGCAAGTTGCAGATTTCTTGTCACGCCACTCAAGAATTTTACTTATATTGAACATATAAAAAAAGAACATAATGTGGATCTATGTATATAGTTTAATGTTATTATTTGTATAAGAGCATTGCTATGTCTATTATGGGACGTTCTAAGAATGGTACAATAAAAGAAAGCAGGATACGAGAAAAAAAAACAATCACTGATTGACCTAAGCGCGCTATACGAAAATAAAGAGAAGATTTCTCTAATAATATAATAATTGTTTATAACGGGTGTGGTAGAATAAACATCTCTGTAGGGATTTTCTTGCTATTATGGCCAAGCCTTAATCTCTTTTTTCTTTTAAAAAGATTTATTATTTAATTGATTCTCGCAATTAATGTTGAAACATAAAAATTCTCATGAAAAATTTGAAATTGGTGAAGTGTAATATATCGAAATAATAACGTTGAATAACTGAAACGAAGATGAGAATATGAGTAATTGAGTATTGAGCGTCGCTTCATCAAAACCAATACTTTCACTCACTAGAGTTAAATCGAAGCGAAACCATTAAATCATCAGATAGACATAAAAATTTTCAAATCTATGTTGAGCAATCTTCATTCTTGAGATTAAAGATTTCAGTATATATGTACAATATTGTTCTGTTTAAGTACTGAAATATGTAGCGCCTATAATCTCAATAATTTAATAGTGAAAATTCAGGATTTCGGAATTTCGTCCACTGGCGAATGAGTCCAGCCATTCGAAAATTCCTTAAAATTTTCGCATCTGTCTGATGATTTAATGGTTTCAGTTTCATGTGATATTTTCAGAAGCGCTTTTTTCTCATTTTTAAGGACCAAAACCATCGAACTCTATCACCCACGCCCTGATGAATATCAATAGTACAAATGAAATATATTGAGTTCTTTATCTTTAAAACAACAACAATAACTTATATAATGACATTTTTATTTCTCGATATTTTTGTACCGTTTGACATATTTATTATTTCATATTCTTATCTGTTCACATTTTATTTTTCTGTCAAAGTAGGATTAATCATTCAATTCTCTACAAGAATGAATCACAAGTTGTTTTTAAGCAGAAAAATGAAACAGATAATATTACAAGACTGTAACATGCCTAATTTTCAAAAATTGATTTTTTTATGAACAATTCAAATTTTTTTTTTCTAGTTTTGTACAAATATAATAACATGAGAAAGAGAGAGAGAGAGAGAGAATACATTTAGAGGTATGAATAACTTCACTCTTACTCATAACATACAATGAAGGTCATTTCAAACAAGTATTTTGACGCAAACATTACTTTATTATAGTTTAATCAAAATACACGTGAAAAAGCTTCACTTATTTTACGTAGTACATCCGAATAAAGAGTTCTATTTGAATTTTTGCATTTCAATCTGATGCATTATTCATGTCTCTTATAATTGAAATAAAGCTTAGGCATTTTTACTCATTTTCTTTTTTGTCATCGAATTATGTAAACTTGACTGCAAGCGTCAAACTCGCTGATTGAAAGCTGTTATTTTTGTAAAGTTAAGGAGGAAAAAAAAAATAATCCTACAAAAATTTTACTAACATTGTTGAAACATAGAGTTTTTCAAGTTCTGTAAGATAGCCATCTATTGTTTTTTTTTTCTCATCAGTTTAAAAAGTTGAAACTTTATAGTATTTAGTTATCGAATTTTCCTACTGAACATTTTGTACTAAAACTTATGATCCGTTCTTGTAAATAATCTAATTGTGAGAAAAAAAAACCTTAAGGCGCTTGACAATGAATCGTGATTACTATAGTGAGAAAAATTTCTTAGAGGAATATTTATTCCAGCTCATTTGTTACAAAAAATTACAACACATTCGTAATGTATGGCCCATAAAAATCATCATATACAAATATTCGAAATACAAAATTTCGTATTTTTTTTTCTACTTTAATATATGATACATTTCGATAGTCCTTGTTTATATATGTATATTTCTGTTACTGTATGCATTCATTCATTCTTTTTTGTTTTTATTACTACACAAGAAAAAGTCAACTGAGCTTCTGTAATCGATATGAATCATATTTAGTGTACAGCAACATTTTTTATGCGTAACAAAAAAAAACATAGCCATACACAAACGTATGTCAAGACAGACGCTCACATAGTGAGAGTAAAGAGAAAAAACGAGCAGAAAATTTCTAAGGATTGATGCATATAGTGCCAAAAGAGAGAGAGAGAGAGAGACAGAGGGGTAAAAAAAGAAAAATTTGGCCAATCAAGAATAATATTTATATAAAGTATAACGTAACTGTACACATATTGCAGTCATCTGCGCATACATAAGCCTTCAGACATACGACATACAATTATTTCAACGAGTGTCTTACAATGACAATTTTTAAATTAATCGTGCTTCTTTTGATTATCTCATCAACTTGTAAGTTATCTAGTTATGTTTTAGTTATAATGAGTATGAATATTATATATATATGTGTATATATCTAAGTTGTTGATGCTCGTGCACGTCGTAGACGACGTCAACTATCATCAGCTTATCAAAGTGGATATCCGTATTCAAGTAGTTACTATGGATCAGGAAGTTATTATCCATCAGGTGGTCAATATCCTGGAAGTAATCCTTACAATACTTATGGACAAGGTTCTATGTATGGTACAAATTATTATGGTACTGGTTCGGGTCTATATGGTAATACAATGCAACATGGTCATGGATATCCAAACAGTAACTGTAAATAATTTTGTCATTTTATCTTTGTTTTTTTTTGTTTAAATACATCTTTTTCTTTTATCTTAGTATATGGTTATAATAGTCAAAATCCATATGGATCAGGCTATAATAATCCGTATTATGGTACTGGACAACAATATGGACAGTATGGTACTGGACAACAATATGGAATGTATGGTACTGGACAACAATATGGAACTGGCCAATATGGTTATGGAGGTCAGATGAATTATCCATATGGTTATGGAAGTTTGGGCTATGGTAATACGTATGGTTCTTACAATCAAGGTAATAATATTTAATATAGAATATGAAATATAAATGGTATTTTGCTGAATGTAGGAAATCCTTGGTATCGAACATCAAGAAAGGGTGATACTCAAGGACGATCAGGTGGTGCTACAGATGGTAAAGAAGCTGGCAATCCTGTTGGACCTAATCCATCTCCACTTGTCAACAAGCCCATAAACGGTGGTCCCACGGGTAACTGAAAAACTTCACGACATATCAATATCATCCTCGCACATTTACCTTCATATTCATGGACATATTTTATTTGTATTTACAAAAGTTTATTTCATTAAAATAATGCTATGTACACAAAAAAAGAAAAACTAAGATTGCTATCTATTTGCTTATCAAGTTGTAAAATTTTTTTTCTCTTTTTTTTTTTATAAATTAAATTCAAGCTGTTTGAATAAGTATTGACGTTATTTAAAATTCTTGTATTATCAATCAGTTAGCATAAGTATATATATACTAGAGAAAATTCTAGGTATTATATTGAAATGATGTTGATGAAATTGATCTTTATTGATTTCATTGTTTCACAATGATTTTATTTGTTGTCAAATGTCATAAAAAAAAACTCTTTTTAAGAGCATGTTTTTTTATGATTACTAATACTGAAGTAAAGTTTTCTTTTTCTTTTTTTTACATCATTCACAGAAAGGAGAAAATTTTCTCTCTTTCTTACCTATATACAACGGTCATCTGTTTAAGAAAAAATAGTGATTCAATACAATCGAATTTTGTTCTCTCACATAGATCGAGAGAAAAAGAAAATTCCAGTCAATATAGGTATATATAAAAAGAGAAAGAGAGAGAGAGAGAGAAGTAAATCGAATACGGGCGACGACAAATGAACAGACAAACAGAATCAACATGATTATATTTATTACATCTCTTGCTCGTTCTTTACTTATGCCCCCTTGGAGAGAGATTGACAATAGTAAATAGAGGGCATAGGATGTATCTAGCAGCTATGTATAGAATAAGAAAAGAAAGAAGGAAAAAGAAAAAAAAAACGTTGTTTTATATGTCTCGCATCTAACTGAGACAGAAGGACTAAAAAGAAAAATTTTCGTTCATCGACGAACATAGATCTACCACGTACACATAGTGTCACCTGAAAAGAACGAGAAAAAAGAAAGAGACTAGAGCTACCGTCTAGCTGACCTCTCATTGTATGTCACCAGTGTGTCACCTCATCATCGACGTTTGTACAAAGCTAAAAACTAATTTTAAACTATAAATTGTCGTAATAGATTATTATTATCATTCAAAATAATATATATCATGTATTGGTTTCAAATAATCATCATATCATTATGTCTACAAATATTATTTATCAGTAGTAAGTTTTTGATTTTTTTTTCTTTTATCTAAACGCATTGAATCTTCAGTCGTCTGGAGATAAAATACATGACGTATTTTTTTCAATTTTAGATATCAATGGTAGTGTTATTCGTCGTCGTCGTCAACAAACATCTGGATTATTATATGGAAATCAAAATTTAGGTGCAAATGCACCAACAGGATATAATTATCCACCGAATACAAATTTCTATGGTACAAATTTAAATAATCAAGGTTCAAAAGATTTATATAATAATCCAATTCTACCATCAAATGCTGGTAATTCATTGAATAATGTTGGTTTATATAATCAACAGCAACAACAACAACAACAACAGCAACAACAATTATATGGACCAAGTGGTCAAGCCTTACCAAATCCTTCATATGGTGGAAGTAGTATTTATTCAGGTAGTGGAACAAATCAACTTTTACGTGACCCAAATGTAAATATGGGAATGCCGGGTAGTAATAGTAATCTTTTACCAGCAGGTTAGTATCAAAAAAAAAACAGAACGAATAGATTTTTCTTTTATATTTACAGGATCAGCTGGTTCTTCATTATATCCCTCATCAAATTCTCAAATAGGTTATTCAGCAAATACAAATCAAATGTTAAATAATAAAGATATTTATAATGCACCATCAAATCCAAACAATAATCCATATGGTTTTAATAACAATTTATATCCAAATAGTAATACTGGTAATGGACAAATAGGTATGAACAGCAATAATAATGCATGGCCAAATAATAATAATCCATATAATTTTAATCCTGGTAATACATGGTATCAACAAAATCGAGAATTAAATCCTAATAATAATAATAATAATAATAATAATAATAATGCATATTCAAATCCAAATTCACCTTATTTTTATAATAATGGTTATCAAAAAATGACATCATATTTAATTGTTTTTGTTTCATTTATTATTGTATCTTTTTTTCATATATAACAAAAACAATGATTATAGGAGAGTGAATTGTATAGGTATATTGTGGACACTTGTACACATGTTTTTTTGTTCCATCGGCGTTTTTATGGTAGCTCAACACGTTTTAAATAGTGAATTTGTAATAAAGCAAATAGTTTCTTTTTAATTAAAATTTGACATATATATATATATTATATGAATAAAAGTATTTAAACTAAAGTTGTATCCTTAAAAATAAATACTTATGTATAGAAGGAAAAAGTTTTTTTTTTTTTTTTTTAATAGGATTGAAGCAGAAAGTATAAATATTTGATTAAAAGCATTAATCTTTTTCAATCATTTGATTTGATCTATTGAAAAAAGAAAAGATTCTAGTTTTTGAATATTATTTTCAATTTTTATTCTAATTACAAATGTTTCAATAAATGAAAAAGATTTATCTTTGTAACCTTCAGTTTTTTGAAATGCCTACTATATCAAGAAAAATCTCGAAGAGATAAATATATCAACTTGTTTTCAAATCCTGCAATCATATTCTTCAATAAAAATTACCTAAAAAAAATATATTGTTCAAGTATTCTAGATTAATATAAGTTCATCTTTCTTGTTTACTGATAGTTCTCTATCGAAATCGCTACCTGAGTAACCAAACCATAGGTATATATATCCATTCACAAAAATTTTCTATTCTCTTCCTGAAGTAAGAAGTCAATCATTGTCAATAGTACCTTTTCTTTTTTAGTATAATCAACTAGAAATTATATTCCTCAATCATTTTTTTAAATTTCAATTCAAGTAGGTTTTTTTTTTCCTCAATCAATCATTTAGTGATAAGAATTTTACACACAAAACAAAAGTTTGAAAACTTTAATATTCTTCATAATAAATCCTAACAAAAATAAATTATTCTTTAAAAAAGAATATTACATATAATACGATTTTGTTCTATATTAATCTTCAATGAAAAAATCTTTTGAATAAATTCACATATTCATTTAACAAACTTTTTTTTCCTTCTTTTATAAGTTTAATATTTATGTTTTGTCGAGCGATCATAATTTAGTTTTTTATTTTTGTTACTATGTATTAATGTAATTTTACTTGCAAGATGTTTGCCGTCAACAATTGAGCTAAGACGAGAGGAAAGATCAAATTTCCTGTATCACAAAAAAAAGAACCGATTTTGTTGCATTTTTTTTTTCTCATTTCTTGTTTTGTTTGGAAGTAACTCCTCTAAAGGAATAAAAAACGAGAACTATTGTTTGGTATGTTCAATTATCCATCAATGTTAGTTTCAAAGAGATATGAACAACAAGTCAGTATATTTGATAAAACAAATTTTAAAATTTCAACGGTAAGAATAAAAATTTGAAATTTTGAAAATAAATTTTATTTTCTAGTGTGATATTTTACCTATTGTAAGAAATTTTTTCAAACAGCCAACAGGCAAACGTGATGTTATTACCAATGTTGATGAGGTATAAATATCAGAAATTGTTAAAAGAAAATGGAAAAGAGAAATAGGAGAAGATTGATCTAGGTCGAATCATTTCTTTGATCGTGAGAAAGAGTAAAAATAAAAGCAAATATTTATTAAACTTTAAAACAGAATAAGGTTATTTTGTTTTTAAATGAATAAAATATGAGTTTTTTTTTTGTGTGTCTTTATTTTGATATTATTATTCATTTATAGATTGTTGTCAGAAAAAAAACAATCGGAAACTAAAAGTTAATAAATATGACTTATGAAAGTAACTGTGAGGTATTTTTCTATTTTCTATCGATAAAAATTTTATTTTAACAAGATTTATTAAAGATTAAAAATCTTTCTGATTTGTATTACAGACTTAAGCTAGATGCCCTGTAAATTATTGCATTATAGTTATTAGTTTAATTTAGATAAACAGTAAAGTTAATACAATTAAATTCAAGAATCAAGTTCATATTCATCAATAGTATCTAATAAATTATCTTCTTGTTTAATTAATTTTTTTTTTGTTGTAAATACATTCTATTCATAGTATAATATTAATGGCAAAAAGAAATGATGAATGTTTGTCATCCACATTTGAGAACATTCATCATAATATATTTTATTCAACGAATTGTTTTTCTTCTATATCGATCAAATAATTGATGAGAACATATGTTTGTTTTTCTTTATATAATTATTTTGATAAGAAAGAACAATATCTAAATAATAAATCATATAACTAAAAGTCGAAAATCTTCTTTGTATGAATGCACAATGTATTCTAATGTGTTTGTCATATTTACGCACGAATAAATCACAATTTTTTGCTTCATGAATTATATTCATACATCATTCGTTTAAATATTCTTGACATATTTTTAATTGACTTTGTATCAAAGTATATTATGAGCAGAGATCATACGTGGGTTTCAAGATTAGGAAGGGAGTTATAAGAGAATAATTCACAGAGGTAGTAACAAATCAAAAATGCTTGCTAGTTTTACTAGACAACAACAAATAATTGTCATTTAACTGCAACTTTCGCGGCTGCTGATTAAGAGAATATTCATGTATATACATTATTGGAATATTTTTAACTTCTCATATACGTGGAAATTGTAATATCTAATAAACATCTGTCAATTTAGTTAGCTGGTAAATTTTGTCTTTAAAATTCATTGTTCTTGCATGCAATAAGCGTGAACTTCGTGGAACTTTCTTATTTTTATGTGATTCTTTTGTGTCTGACAGGTCAGGCTGAATTTTGAAACGTTAACTTGGTCTGATCTATTCGTATAGTATTGCATTAAGCTGATGATGTTAGGTTAAAGGTGTTGGTCAGAGTTTGATGTAATATTAATTTTCCTCGTATTTCACATATTCTTTTTTTTTTGATGGAGAAAAAACTAAAATTGAGTATGTGAAATATTATCAAAAATATTTCAACAATACAAATCTTCCTTGTATGAAAAATTTTTATGATATTTTTTTGTTGCTTTGTTTTAATTTACTATTTAGTGTAAGATTCTATATTACCTTTATGGAAATAAATGAAATTAGAAGTTAAAAGTATTGAATTTTATAAATTCGAAAAACCAAAAATATTAATCAATTCTGTACTGTAATCTTTTACTATTAGTCAGACCTACTGCTAACAAAGGATGTACATGTGATTTTGTATACTCTTCAATACGTTTTTTTTTGTTCATCGAATAGCTTCAGAAAAGTGTACTGAAAAACTAGTTGATGCTTACGAGGGAACATATTCAATTGTCAAACGTCGTTCGACCTCATATTATGACTACAAGTAGATCTATGTGAGACAACGAAAAACTTACAAGGATTTGAGTCCATGATCCTAATGATAAAGAGTTATAGCTGTTTTACTTGATTCTTTGAAGCTATTGATCATTAAATTTTTTCAAAGCTTCTGACACACTGCGCAGAAACGGTAACATATCTAGTTAAAATATCAGGTCGGTTTCTTATTATAAAACAGTTTTTGAAAATTGGATGTTGATAGCACTCAAATTCTTTTTTATTGTTTACGTGTCTTTCTTAATTTACGAGAGAAGTTCCGCAACTGATTAATCGATGATAGGAGCGAATTAAAAGACCTAAAATTTTCGCAACAAACTATTCTGCTGAAGATCTATTTCTTTGCAAAATTTCAAGTCAAAATTAGAAAGTAAACTTCACCGTTGTTTCTGAAATTCCTTAAAAAGGAAGTGAATTTTCATCAGAATTATCGAAATTAACTTAAATATATGAGAAGATAGGTCGAGGCCCAATCTTTCATAAATGAAATGATTTTTTTTCTTCGACATCGCCTTTCTTGCGAAAGTTTTTGATTATGCTTTTTTAATCGTGCATTCCAGAATTCTCCAAGGAACTTCATTATAACCAATTGTTTTTTTTTCGTTTGTTTGAAAGAATATATCAAAATGTAGGGCATGACAGAGTCCCTGTTTTCAATTAAGCATTTTTACTATTTTATAAAAGAGTAGTTTTATAATTAGAGTGCCATCTTTGAGAGTTTTTCGAAACATTAAATTTTGCATCCCTTTTGTTTGATTAAAAAGTAAGAATTAAACAAAAAAGGGTCTGTCATGTCGTACATTCTGTCATGCTTTTTCAAACAAAAAAAACTTAAGTATATAAAATGAAGGTCCACAGAGGATTTTAAGTTGTCAAATGAGCAATTTTTGACTCTTGTCTGTTGAATAAACTTCATACATTTTGAATGTCTCTGGGCCAAGATCGGTTTTTGAGAAGTGACGACGGGAACTGTAGGAAACTACGACTTTGATTGAAAAAATGTAGTATCTCAGCAGTAATTAGCACAACAATCTGAACTCTTTTCAGAGTATTTATAACTCATTAGAGTCTACATGATGCACATTATTCCGACTAGAAAGCGATTAATCAATTGCAAGGTTTCCTTTATTAAAATAAAAATTAGAATTTATTGTTCTCTATTTTTAAAATTTATCTGTTATCATATTGATGAATTAAATAATTTTTGAGAATTAATAAATTAAAATTTCTATATTAAGCTTCGAAGATGTTTATCTGATATAAAACCATTTTCACGAATATTAAAATCATTACAAAATCAAATCTTACAAGAAGCATGGTATGAATGGTAAATGATTAGTTTTTTTTTCTCATCTATCTATTATTTATAATTATCATTATAATTATTTTTAGTTATCCCGAACAACGTACAATTGTTCGACAAGGTGATCGTCCTGCATGTTTCTATATTATTTTATCTGGTTCAGCTATTCTAACATATAAACGAGTAGCTGATAGTCATATTGAAACATTAGCTATTCTACATAGAGGATGTACATTTGGAGTAAGAATTTCAATAATTATTAAATATATCAAAAAAACAACAAAATAAGACTAATTTCTTATAGGAAAAAGGAATAATGACAGATTCTCGACAAAAATTTACTGTTGTATCAAAGACAAAACTTGAATTATTGGTTCTATGGAAAGATGTAAATATGTTTGCATGATTAATTTAGAACAAAAAAAA